GTCCCTGATGCCCACCTGATGCTCGCTAGCTCACACAGCTTGCCCGCCCGCCACATGCTCCGCCCAGTCCATCCTCCCTTCCTGTGTGGCATGCTGGGCCCTTGTGGCTTGCCTAACCTGACTTCCCCACATGGTGCCTGCATCCCAACTGAGCAGCCCTGATCTGTCTGCCCTGCTCACAGGTAAGCCTGCATTGTGTTAGGCCCTTGCCCACCCCTGGGGCCTTTCGGGGCCTCCCTCCCACTGCCCAGGGCCTTTCCAGGCCTCCCTCCCATCGCCCGAGACTTTCTGGGTGGGAGGAGGCCAAGGTGGGGCATCTTTTTCGGGCCAGTCCAGAGGGCGGGGTGGACAGCGGCGGCCGCAGTGCAGCTATGGGAAGCAGCCCCAGGAGTTCCCAGCCTCCCTTTCAGAGCACACCCACCCACCCCCACCGCCCCCTCAGCCCCAGCCCCAGCCCCAGCCCCAGCCCCAGCGCAGCAGAGAAAGCAAACAGAAAGCCTTTCAGTTCGCTTTCTCCCTGCCTTTTGGGGTGCCCCTGCCGCTGCCTCTGCTGCCGCCCCCTCAGCCCCAGTGCAGCAGAGAAAGCTAATGGAAAGGCTTTCAGTTCACTTTCTCCCTGCCTTTTGGGGCATCCCCACCCACCGCCCCTGCCGCTGCCCATGTGCTTCGAAAGGGAGGGGGAATGGATGTTCCGAGGCTGCTGCTTTCTTCATTGTCCCACCGCTTGCTGCTCTGGAGTTTGCCTAATAAGTTCTTCCCAGAAAAGGTGTGTGTGTGAGAGAGAGTCAAGGAAGGAAAGGAAGGAAGGGCAGAAGGAAAGAGCAAGAAAGGAAGAAAGAGCAAGAAAGAAAGAGGAAGGGAGAGAAAGAGAGAAGGAAAGAGGAAGAGGAAGAAAGAAAGAGAGAAAGAAAAGAAGAAGGAAGAGGGGGAGAGAGAAAACTCTGTGCTGTTATCTTTAATTGTTCCATTATTTATCATATCATATATTAATATTTTACACTGTCCCTACACTTAGTGTTATTTTATTGCCTTTCTTTTGCCCAGGTATTTTTCAGGGTTTACATGTCAATAGTCCAGAGCATAAACACAGGTGGGTTTAACAGAGTTGAAAGGGACTATGGAGGTCTTCTAGTCCAACCTCCTACTCAGGCAGGAAAACTGAGGGTGCCAAATTCTGAGTAGAGGTCCTGGGAAAGGTGTCAGAATAACAGAATAGCACTTAGAAGGGACCTTGGGAGGAACTCTATACCATTTCAGAGAAATGGCTGTCCAGTCTTTTGTTAAAAACTTTCAGTGTTGGAGCACCCAGAACATCTAGTGACAAGCAATTCCACTGGTTAATTGTTCTCATTGTCAGGAAGTTTCTCCTTACTTTTAGGTTGCTTCTGTCTCTGTTCAGTTTCCATCCTGCTTTGGAAAATACATTGTTTGCCTTCTGGTGCTTTGGAAAATACATTGCCCCCCCGCCCTCTTTCTGGCAGCTCCATAAAAGCCTGTTGCCTATCATCCTCTTGGGCAAAGCATGTGAGCCATTTCCTCCTTTCAGTAGTCCATAAAGTACATTTGTAGTACATGGATAATAAAGTCAACAAAAGGTGAACAACATTTTTACAGAACTATAGATATGTTGAGGCTGGGTGTGACAAGGAATGGCTGGGAGGGGAGGGGCCAGATGAGGCACCCCTTGACGTGAGTGACATTGAGTTGGCCACTCCCACCCAGTCACATGACCACCAAGCCATGCTCACAGTCATATGACCACCCCAATCACATGGCCACCAAGCCACGCCCACTCAGTCACGTGATTCTAAGCCACCCCCACCAAATAAGCCATGCCCACAGAACCGGTAGTAAAAAAATTTAAATTCCACCACTGGACTCTCCCTCACTCTCATTATAATCTCCTTCCCTCCCTCCCTCGTTCCGTTCTTTTTCCTTCCCTCTTCATTCTCCTTTCTTAGTCCTTCCCCTCTTTCCTTCTTTTTCCTTCCATGCTCTCTTCCCATCTTCCCATCCTTTTTTTCGTCTTCATCTTTCCCTTTCTCCTTTCCTGTCTCTTCTTGTATGCAAAACATTTCTTCTTTTTTGGGGTTTTGTTTTGTGTTCATTTTGATACCCTCTGCCAGTGAAAAATGGAACGGGGGGGGGGGGGGGGCATACAACCACCCCCACCCCCAACTCATTTTTTTCTGGCTGAGGCACCGTGGCCTGGTCCTTTGCTGTTTTCAGGCTGGCTCTGTGTGCTGAATGTAAGTATCCCATGGGCCAGATCCGGCCCCCAGGCCTTGAGTTTGAAGCCCCTGTTCTAATGTAATAATGAGACTCTTCTTTTTTAAACTTGTCTAAATTGACAACTGCAACTGTGCATTCACTAGTTTCAATCTCACTAACTGAATTTTGGGTCACATTAAAGGTAACTTGGGATCAATTTACAATTTGGTCTAAATTAAATACTGCATTATTAAAATTCAAAGTAATCATGACATATCTATAAAACATATGGTACATACAGTATGTTTTGCTTTCCAATAATGAAAAAGGAACCTAACAGAGAAGTTACAAATGTTATTTATTATTCTAGTCCTTTGTGTGCTTCAAATACCGATATTATTTATTTATTTTGTCAAGCAATTATAAGATAACAGTTATAAGTATAAACATAGTTATGGATACATGAAATGGATACATATAAGAAAAATAAAAAAGAAACAATAGGACAGGGACGATAGGTACGTTGGTGCGCTTATGCGCGCCATAATTCGTGGAATAATTATTTGTTTGCTTTCAAACACTTTTTTCAACACTCTTACAACTGTTTGGACAGTTATGACTATACAATATCATGCAGTTTTCTCTCTATTTGATAGTACAGGTATTTCAAAACCCTATAAATGGGCAAAATAACAAAAATAGGGTAAAAATAACAAAAAATAATAAATAAGAACAGCAGGGAGGAGTTGGACTATATGACCTGCAAGGTCCCTTCCAACTCAGTTATTCTGTCTCTCTGACAAATCTGTAGTTCTAATAAAGTTGGCTTTAATCATAAAGAGACACAAATTCTATACATCTTACTATTTTGAAAATTGTTATGTTTGCCCTAGGGTATATCTCCCATTTAGTTTTGAAATATCTATATTACCAAATAGACAGAAAACCGCATAATATCGTATAGTCATAATTACTGTCCAAACAAATGGTAACAGTGATGGAAAAAGTGTTCAGAAAGCAAGCAGATAATTATTCCACTAATTCAGGAGTGTCAAACTGGATTTCTTCGAGGGCCGGATCATCATTGTAGTTCTCCTACATGGGTCAGCTGGGGAGGGGAGAGAGAGGATGGATGCCTTCTGCAGCACACTGCTGCCAAAACAGAGTGTGGGGGGCTGCAGAAGGCCCCTGCACCAGTGGTGGGATTCAACTTTTTTTTAATACCAGTTCTGTGGGCGTGGCAGGGGAAGGACACTGCAAAATCTCTATTCCCACTCCACTCCAGGGGAAGGATACTGTAAAATCTCCATTCCCTCCCCACCCCACTAACCTGCTTTCCAGCTCTGTTCTCCTGTGCAGGGCAACAAAAGAAGACCCAGCCAATCAGCTGGGACTTGAGAGGCAGAGGACAGGGGCCAGTCAGAGATGGTATTTTCCAGTTCTCCAAACTACTCAAAATTTCCGCTACCTGTTCTCCAGAACTGGTCAGAACCTGCTGAATACCACCTCTGCCCTGCACCCTGTTTTCAGCCTCGATGGTCTCTTTCAGTACCCTGCCATCAAAATGGGGTGCAGGGGGGGGGCACGTGAGCTCCCTGTGCCTCATTTTTGGCCTGGACGGCTTCCTGCAGCATGCTGCCAACCAAAATAGCTTCCAGTAGCACCCTGCCAGCCCCATTTTGGCTGCCAGAGGCACCACGGACCGGTCCTTTGCTATTTCCAGGCTGGCACCGCAGGCCTGGAGTTTGACACTCCTGCACTAATTGTATCAGTGTATGAGGCACACAAAGGACTAGAATAATAAATAATATCTGTAACTTCTCTGTTAAATTCCTTTTCAGAATTAGAAAGCATTAGAAATATACTATATATAGAATAGAATAGAATAGAATAGAATAGAATAGAATAGAATAGAATAGAATACCTTTATTGTCATTGCATTCCACGAATACAATGAAATTTGATAGCTACTCCAGCACAGTCCCCCAAACACCACATCACAATCATACTACAGAGCATTTAAAAATTAAAATAATAATAATAATAGGACTAAATCACAAATGCACTGCTTGATTCAAGACAATTACTGCCTTGGAAAATAAACTGTTTCTCAATCTATTAGTCCTCATTTTAAGACACCTATAACGCTTCCCTGATGGTAAACAGATCGAATTAATGTCCAGGATGAGAATGGTCTGTGGAGATTTTTAGTATTCTAGAGAGGAGTCTGGTCTTCGCAATCTCTTCCAAATAAGAAAGAGAGCAACTGATGATTTTTTTGTGCTGTGTTTATAACTCTCTGGAGCATTTTCTTATCCACTACAGACCATCCAGCATACCACACAGTATGCCAAAATGCTCTCGATGGTAGACCAGTAAAAAGTAACCAGCAACTTCTCACCCAAACCACTCTTTTTCAGCAACCTCAGAAAGTGCCTTCTTTGCAGTGGCCATAGTGTGGACCGACCAAGTAAAGTCATCGGAAATATGAGTTCCTAGAAATTTAAAACTATGAACTCTTTCCACACAGTCTCCATTGATATATAGTGGGAGAGGATTGGCTTTGCATCTTCTGAAGTCTATAATCAATTCTTTGGTCTTTTTGATGTTCAGAGTGAGGTTATGACTCTCACACCACAAGACCAGTCTGAGAACCTATAGGCCGTCTCATCTCGTACAGTTTACAAGAGAGAAATATAATGATTGAGAACATCAAATCATCACTTTCTGATTATACATGCTATTGATAAAATTATAAATACTGATGACTAACACAAGTGTTTGCTTACTTCAGCTTCTGTGCTGTTTGATCAGCTAAAGTTAATTTCCGCAATCGCATCCGTTCACGTGGTGTCATTTTCTGCATTTCAGATATGGTCCTTAGAGTTTGGAGATGTACCTTTTTCTTTCTAAAATTGAGGCGAAATAATAAAATTGAAATAAAAAATTGGAGAAAAGAAGGCAGTTAGTGATATCAAGCTGGAAAGAGAAGTTTATTTCATGTGTGTTAAAGAAAATTCACAAATTCACAAAAATATCCCTTATGTCATGCGTTGAAGGAAATTCACACATACACACCTTGCCCCATCTTCCCAGGGAAGATTTAGTCGCATAAAGCTACCAATTTAAAAAAATTAAATTAAATTTTAAAAGTGCTGAACCATCATTTTATTTATAGAGTTTTGTTTGCTGTACTTAAACTTGCTTGTTTATAATAGTGCGCACATTATCAACAGATTAGTACTGCCAACAAATGAAAAGATGCAATTAAGATGTTTGGTACATTAACAAAAGGAAGATTCTAATTGTATTAATTTTTAATATCTTACTTCATTTATAATTAAATTATGTAAATCAAGAACTTTGAACTCATTTCATTTGACATGACTGATATTAATTTTTTACAAAACAAAAAGAACAAAGGGATATCCTTGAAGTTTTAATAATAGTATAAGAAATGAAAAACCATACTAATGACATTATCTTTTTTTGCCTCATTATCCAAAGTACCATAAAAATTCTAGCTTTGCAGTTTAAGCAGAAGAGTATTGACTATGAAGTGTACACTGGATCATTTTATTAATTGCTTTGAGCAATTAGTAAGGATGTTAGGAGATATTAAGAATCAAGATATGAGATGCCAGATAATCTTGATGTTGAAAAACCAGTTCTTTGTTTAGTGTTGCTTATTGTGCCCTAAAAAGAATAACATCAATGACATCTCAGAAATCAACAACTAATAAAACCATATGGAATTAGAATAGTGAACAAGCCAACCAAAGCTCTTCAAAACATCTACACAAACAAAAAGACCAGCAGCTCCAGAAGAAAAAACAAGAATCATCCACAACAGGGGTGTGAAACTTGATTTCATTGAGGGCCGCATCACGGTTGTGTTTGACCTCGGAGGACCAGTGGGGGGGGAGATGGCTGGAGGACATGGTCATGGTGGATGTGGTTGGGGGGGCTTGGTCATGGTGAGCATGACACGGGACTTGTGTCGGGGGCACATCTGATGGCCAAGTGCTAAGATAGGACTTCCCTGAGACCCTCACTCACTCTCATTATAGAGGTAATCCTCAAGGTACGAATGCAATAGAGCCTGACAATTACATTCATAACCCAAGGATTTATTCGACTGAATCACATTAAATGAATGTGATCACTCCCTGCTTTCCCCAATGCGTTTATTAACTGAATGCGCAGGTCATTAAATGCACATGAGTATCTCAGAGTGAAGAAGAGCATGCGGGGCCTAGTGCTGGAGCAGGCCATCCAAGGCCTCCCCCAATCTACTTAGATACCTCATACTCCCCGGGTGTCTCCACAATTGCTTCCCCCCCCATCCTGCCCCACTGGGTCTTCATAAACTGAGCCTGCTTTGCTAGTATCCAGATTCCATTTATCTTCCCCAACCCATTTCCCATGGATTATTTACTTTTTGAAGAACTCCAGAGCTCCAGAAGAGGCTGACCTACCGGCAGAGAAGCCAAAGTGTTTTATATAGATGATGGCAAAGCTGTAAGAATGTAAACTCTAAGGAAAACATTTTTGCCTACTTCTGAATAAAAATTTCAGCTTGGGGCCATGTGGACAGCAGGCCTCTGTTAGTAGAAAAGACCTCCTGCTTCAGGACAGCTTCAGGGATTGAGGCAGCAGCAGCAGCAGCCAATCAACAAGGAGCTTGCTTGCTTTGTCTCATTGTGTTGAACTGCAAGCCCCTTGTTGATTGGCTGTCATGCCCCAATCCTGAAGCTCCTCATTCAAACTAGCCAGTCAGCAGCAAGCAGGAGGGTACTTGTTGCCAGCCAGACTGGGTTCAAACTAAGTCTGCAGGCCCCCAGGACAGAGAAGCCAGTAGAGGAAAGCTGTTTTCCTTACATCTTATGTTCTTACAGTTTCATGGGCTTCTGAATAAAAGACTTTGGCTTCTCTGCCACATGGGCCAGCTCTTCTGGAACTGTTTGAAAAGTAAGTACAGAAAAGCCATGGGAAATGTGGTGGGGAGAAGTAAGTGGAATCTGGGATGCTAGCAAACCAAGCACAGTCTGTGGAGAAGGCCAAATGGAGCTTCAGAGGGCCAGATACAACCCAAGATACCCCATTTAGGCCTGTAACAGGCTGGGGGAGGCCTGGCAGAATGCTGCAGGAAGCCGTCCAGGCTGAAAACCGGCCATAGGAGTGTTGTGCATGGTCCCCTTGTGCCGCATTTTTCCTAACAGGCACTGTGGGGTGGTTCTTTGCTATTTCCAGGCAGGCCCTGCGGGTGTCAGCTTTCAAGATTCCTTTCCTTCGCATCTTTTGGCTATCATAGTAACAGGGGTGGTGGTAAAATAATTGGGTTTTGTCTGGGTGGGAAATGTGCTGGAGGTTTTAGAGAATGGACTCTATAACTTGGAGGAAAACTTTATTGTTTATGCTTACTTGCTTGCTTACTGCACAGTTGCAGCTCTTTATCAAAATAGGCCAAGATCAACGGCCAGATGTCTGCAACACCACCTGAAGATGCTCCACATGACATTATACACATCTTCGATTGGATTGACAGTTTGAACTATTGTGGGTGGGAACGTTGCCATCATTTTGTATATGTGTTTTCACGTGCAATTCCTCAGATTCAGAATTCCTTTGATGATTTCCAGTAAAAGATATTTTCTCTATGTTAATAGAGTCTAAATGTGTCTTTCTTGGATTTTGAATGGAGCACCACCTGACAGCGGGCCAGATCTGAGCACCCCATGGGCCGGATTAGGCCTGCAGGCCTTGAGTTTGACACTCCTGATCTACAATATATAGTGTAATACAGCAACAACCACTAAGTAGGACAAACATGCAGAAAACTGGCAGAATGCACTCAGGAATATCAACTAGCAGTTAAAAGACATGATGAAAACTCTTTTATTTTGCAACATCTGGACAGACTTAGCTATAGTTTCAATTAGTAAACTGTCCTAGACCATCCTAGACCAAGCCAAGATCAAAAGCACTAGGGAATTGTAGAAGTGTGGCACTCTGACAAATTAGTCATCAATGGATACATACACATAAATAATATCTATAGAATATACAAAAGAAACAATGAACAAGCCAAAAAAGGGAGCAAAAAGACTTAAGACTTCCCAACCAGCAATCAGCATCCAGATGAGCATATATTAACTCCAAGATTAACATCAGACCAACAACCAAGTAAACAATACCCTAATCAAAAAACTGCCAAACAAAGTAAACATCCAATCACTCTATGATGGGGATAGACTCTAAGACTACACCCATCAACAGTGATAGAGCAATCGACTAGAATATAAACTGAGAGCAAAACCCATTCCTTACTAGCATTGATATTACCTACTTTGGTCCGCAAGAAAATAGCCAAGCTAAGAGAGCACCAAAGACCTTTTATTTTAATCCTGACTTAGAAATATTCTCCTTTCTGAAGTGAGAATAGTGCCATAGGTATTGATAGACCCCCAAACGCACATCTGTGTTGAAAACTGGTAAAAGGTGAACTGAAATTAGAGAGATTATGGCCATGTGCTCAAGACATCTGTTTAAATTTTCTCTTGTTCAATGAGTCATAAGAAAAAAGAGAAAAGATTCATTCAGTTATAATAAATCCTTTCCCCTTTTTAAACTGCAATTTGTCCTAGGATTCTGAAAACAAAATATGCTGTTCTAATAGGTAAGAGATTAGCTGAGGCATAGTAGGCAGGCATAGCAAGATGTGATTAGACTCACCTACTATCACCTGTGTTTGAGTTGGGTGATCATATATATTTGTTTAATAAATTAATTAATAAATAAAAAAGTTATTCCATATAGCAGAGCTGCAAACCCACTGCAGCAGCTCATAAAATTATCTACATTTTCCGATTCCCTATCATGGATTTTACTCATTAAAGATATATATACTTTGATCTGCATAATCAGGAGACAATGAAGATCTTGTTAGTGAATCAGCCAACTTGATATGTAGTAAAGTCCTTGACTGAACTGCCATGGATAGATTTCAAAGAGATTCTGATGGCTTCTGTTATTTGGGGATTATAACATCCATTCTTGAGAGTGGCAGCTCATGACCCAAAATTGATACACCTATGAACTGATAAAGTTGCAATTGATGTCAATTTTGATTGGGCAGAGATGGTTCCTGGCCATCCAGAAATCTAGTCATCCAACAGTGATATGGAATACTTGGAAGTGCTTCAAGTCCAAGATAAGCACTCTCTATCTGTTGATTAAAGATGTCTTAAAGAAACAGTAATTTAGGATTGCTTCTTGTTGCTATATGTTTAATGTTTATGTATCCAGCGGAAAATTGGAATAAATAGGCTAAAGAATCTCTGTTAGTTCTGTATTGCCATAATTACTTGAAGCAAATTGCCTTTTCAAAATAGGAAAAAAATAAGTTATATCTTGGGTCTATAGCAATTCTTGTAATAGCCAAATCATTACGATGTTATTGGATTTAACAATTTAGAATTGCTAAAAAAGTACCTAAATTCTGATCAGATTAAATGTTGTTGCATTTAAAACATCAGGATTGGAAAGAAAGAGGGTTTCTATACTGCAATGTTTTCAAACTTGGAAACTATACATTTCTGAACTTCAGGTCTCAGAACGCCCTAGCCAGCCATATTAAAAATTCTGGGAGTTGACGCTCATGAAGCTCAGACTGATAAACAAAGAGACAGATACCATGTTTCCCCAAAAATACGACCTACCCTGAAAACAAGCTCTAGCCCGGTTTTCATGCCTGCACCTAATATAAGCCCTACCCCCAAAATAAGCCCTAGTTAAGGCTCACCCACCATCTGGTTGTACAAGGTGGGGGGAGGCGCAGGCATAAAAATCACCCTAGGGCAGGGGTGGGGGTGGAGCCGCCCCACATGTCCCATACCCACTTACCTCAGGGTTGGCCCATTGCATTGGTATAGCCATTCGCAGGATGCCATGATGCACTGGTGCTGCCATTTGTGGCAGAATGCCACAGGGCTCATTGCACCGGTGCTGTTGCTCGCATGCACAACGATATAAAACACCACACAGCCTCTTGCTGTAAGCGGTAGTACCAGCATGATGAGTCAGATAAGTTGTCCTGCCACACATGGCGGCACTGGCGCAATGAGCCTCATGGCCTTTTGCCACAAGCAGCGGCACCAATGCAATGAGCCTTGTGGTATCCCACAAGAGGCCGAAGAAGTCAAGCAGCAGCATGACAGGTGTCAGGGCATGAGAGGTGTGGCTGTGGTGGCCCTAAGGTAGGTGGATAAGATCTCCTCCTAAAATAAGACCTGGTGCTTATTTTGGGGCCAAAAAGAAAATAAGACCAGCTTTTATTTTGGGGGGAATATGGTATAATTTTGCAGCAAACAATAGAAAATAAGAGTTAGGGTTAGTATTAGAGATGAAGGCAAGCAAAAAATTAGAACAGAACTTATTAGCAAATCAAACAATACTAAGATCAGATTTTTACTGATATTTTACTGATATGAAGGAAAAGTATAGAATATTAATACTTAAGACAATTAATGTTGCTTCGAAAGGAAGCTAAAAAAGGAATGATTGCCATAGCAGAATGAAGCAGTAATTGATAATTACTGGAATGGAATGTAAACTGTAAACTAGGGTTAGAAGAAAACACAATTCCAGATGCAAGTAAACCTCAAAGGGATGTGAGTTTAATTACCCATTATTAATTATTCTATTTATTTTATTTATTTATTTATTCTATTTTGATATTTTAATAGTATTCAAATTAGTTTAGTTCATGAATAATGCAAAAAGAACATATTCATATTAATATAGAAAAATGTCACAATTATTTTTGAAATATATGACAGTTATTGTAAATTAATTGATGGCCTTGTTAATGCCTGAAATTTCTGTAAAGAATCTTCTTAAGAGAAGAGGCAACAGATATGTACAAGTTATGAACTTTTTATGGAAATGCATTTCTCTTTTATTTGGTTTTGGTGATTTGGCCACTTTTGATTTGATTTGCTTTTGTAAATTTCAAAAATCACATACTCACACAGCACTTATTAAATGATCAGCTTCTTCCTGGGAATTCGACATCCAACCCTTTTTAATCGGTATGCTTATATTTGTGTGCTTATATTTCATAATCTGTCAGAAAACAAGAATTGTAACATTTTAATTTTTTTATACTGAAGTATTTCATGACTTCTGGCTCTTTTACAAAGCTAATTTCTTTTGTTTCACATAAATTGCATTTAGCAGATTCTGCACTTAGGAAACAGACAAAGTAGGTGACTTGCAAAGAATATTTCTGCTGAAATAGGCTAAACTTAAGGCCTGACTACCCCAAACTTCTCTTTCCTTAATGATCATTAATAGCTCCATAGACTTTCCTCTGATATTATGACACATGGTATTGAGTGGCATGCTGCCTCTGACACTAGATATTTTATATGTAATGTTCAGCAGGGTTCCGTGTTTTCTTTGTTCCTGTTTAATATCTGGAGCCACTGGGTGAGATCATTCATCATCAGAGGGTGAGATATCATCCATATATTAATAATACCCAGATTTATAATCTGCCCATGATGAATTAAGCAATGCTTTTTGATGTCCTGTCTTGGTATCTGGAGGCTGAGGTGGGGTGGGGGTGCTGAATAGGAAATAATAGGCTTCAATTTTGCCCTGGAAGATTGAGTGGATTGGGTTTGGCACTGTTCCAATTCTATGGATTACCATCTCTTATTCTGGAATAATAAAATAAGTAGCACTCTCCTAAAAAGACAAAGTGCAAAATCTGGGGTCCTCAGACATTTGTGACTTCTCAAAGAGCAAGTGGCAGCCTATGGATCTATGCAGAGATTGGTATATATGTCTTAGAAAAGAAAAACAAATACTTATAAAGTTGGCTATATTTTCACTGGTTATCATTTCTTTCTCTAAAAGGGACAAAGGCCTTTAATTGAAATACAAAAGAAATGCCATTATTTCTAGTCAATTGCAATCTGTTCTACTCACTTTACTTTCTTTGTTATAGCATTTCTATATTATGTTAAATGTGTTTTTAGCATGTGTGGTGTATAATTGCCATGATGTTCTGTTTCCCAGAATTTTAATTGATCTAAAGTGGCACTTTACACCACTTATCAGCTTGATACTAATCCAAACTTTAAACAAAAGCATAGTAGTATAATTTTGGAGATGTTCCAAATATTCAAATGAAGCTCCGGGAATAAAAATCCAAAGTATTTTCCTCTCCAGAGAGGACAATGATCTACAAGTGAGTTGTGCCTGTATTTTAAAATTGTTCTTTTTTAAAAAAAAATTGAGGGTGGGGTTCTCTCTTCTCTGTCTGTCTGTCTCTGAGTAGGAGTGTGTGAGAGACATTTACTCGACTTTCCAAAAATTTAAATTACTAATAGCACTTGATCCCTATATCACTTCTATCAAATTCTGAACATCTAAATGAAAAGTTTTAATTTTTTGGAGGTAGAATTTTCAGAATATGAATGTAGACTGCTAAAATCCAATTGATCTCATAATAAAATAGCACTTCTGTCAATCTTGTAATAATACAGATCCTTCTGCATTAAATATTCAATTAAATATCTTACAGATCAATGACTTTAGATATAATTCTCTAGAATTTGATTGGTATTTCCTGCAACCTTACTTATAACTGTATTTTAGAGTTTTAACTTTCTTATTATACACTGACTTTTTAATCTATGTTTCTAGGTATGTCTAAGAAGGCATTCCGAATACCTGTAACTGATCATCAATGTATGAAGTTCTTAAAATCTCTGCAGCTGATGGCCTCAGTGAAGGGTCCTTATTTAGCATTCTAAAATATTAACAATATGAAATGAATCAATATTGATATTAACAAAAGATATAATGGGAAAAAAACAAATTAAATCCAAACAAACATACCCACCTATGCAGGACAGCATCAAGTTCTCTTGGAAAATTGTCTGGAAGAGATGGTGTTTTGCTCTCTACAATTTTCAGAACAATAGACAAAAAACTATGACCAGTAAACGCATGATTCAAACAACACACTTCATACAAAATGCATCCAAGTGACCTAGAATGGAAGATAAAAATAATTCAGGGACAAGCAGTGATTCTAAATTAATGCCTAGTGACTGCTTATATTTGTAGTCCTGGTGAAAAGAAATGATAAGTTTCCTACAGATAAAAATAAAATATATTTTCTCCAAACTATAAAATCATACCTAGCATAAATTTAGATATGAGTAATAAAATTGATATTTGTGATCAACCTAGGTACATTAGCAAGATAAAAATACATATCACAGGTAATATTGTAAAAAATACAGATTATCTTCGAGTTATGGTCATTAGCCAGAATTATGGTCATAAATCATTGCAGTTATAAGGCATCGCATGATTCAAAATTATGACCATTTTTATGATAGCTGATAGGTGAACATAGTGATCATTAAGTATTAAGCAAACATTGCACTTGTTAAGCAAATACATTTTCCCCAGTAGGTGTTTTTTGCCAGGAATTGGAAATACATATTGGAAAACAACAAAACAAATTCACATATCACAGCCAAGTGACCAAAGGATCCTGCAAATGATTGTAAAACCACAGACCAAAATACAGTCTTGCAATTGCTGTGTGTGTCTGTACCATCATAACTCCCCAAACCAGTCATAAATAGTTCTGGGTGGTCCATTGTACATTAATTTTGAATGCTCACGGATTACTTGTGAATTAGCAATAGTTCGATGCTATTCAATTGCTTTGGTTCTACTGCAGCTATGCTTTGGAATAATTCCCATGTTCTGATCTACAAGCAATTTTTAAAAACCTGACATTTCCTCCAAGCCTTGCTTAGGATATTGGGGTAAATCTTTTCCAGTTTAAGCATGATATGGACATATCGTATATTGTTTTGTCAGATTGTCAATTTTTATTTTATCTGTTCTTTTAAATAAATAAATAAATAGTCCTTGACTTTTGACTGTAATGGAGCTTGCCCATTAGTGTTGAGGTTATGATAGTTATTAAGCAAGGAAGTGTTAGGTAATGACCCATCTCCTGCTCTACCTGATGTTAAACAAACGCATAGGTTGTTAAGTGGAGCACAAGGTACCTCATGGCTGAGGGAAGACCCTGAAAAGCCTAGAACAGGTTGTTAGATATTTACATATGCATCTCCGATTGGTTGGTCCGTGACAGCACGAATTTAAAAAATTTAAATTTACCATTCGACCCAAAGACCGAGGCAGGGGTGGGATTCTACCACTTCGGACCAGTTCTATAGAACCAGTTGTTACAATTCTGCACAGTTCGGAGAACCAGCAAATCACACCACTGGCTGGCTCCTCCCTTCCCCACCCGCCCTGTCCAGGTGCTTTCCTGAGGCCCAGTTGGGGTGGTATTCAAAGGGTTGGGGGAGGGAGAAGTGGCCTGAGAGCAGAACTGAACCTTTCTTAGGATTGAAGCTTCTATTTTTCAGTGCAGACTCAGGCAGCAGGTTGCAGAAAGGTAGATCTGGGAGTGAAGCTGTTATTCTGCAAGCAGCTCAATCTGCCTGTCTGCTTTGCCTGATTTTGGGTAAAGGTTGCTCTTTTTTAAAATAAAAAATTCAATCTTTACATATATATTTACAATATTTACATGTCACATGACCACCAAACCACAAATTTGGCCATGCCCAAAGAACCAGTTATTAAGAAATTTGAATCCCACCCCTGGACTGAGGACTGGGAATCCTATGTCAACCAATTCCAGATGTTCCTGGAAAGCAGCAACTTGATGGGCATTACGGAATAGAAGAAGAGAGCCATCTTCCTCACACATTGTGGCCTTCTGTTTTCAAAATGGCTAAAGCTCTCATAGCCCCAAGAGATGTCAAAACGATGGCCTGGGCTGACTTAGAGAAAATTCTGAGGGACCATTATACCCCACCGGTATCCATCCTAATTAAGAAGCACGAATTCCACCGGAGAGACCAGAAGGAAGGACAGAGCATCGACAACTTCATTGCAAGCCTGAGGGACATTGCCAGAGTATGCAAGTTCTTGAATGTGGATGAGGCAATGAGAGATCGCGTAGTCCTGGGACTCAGGGACTTGACACTACAAAGCTGCCTCCTTACAAAACCTAAAATAACACTCAAGGAGGCTGTCAGATGGTGCTCCATTCAAAATCCAAGAAAGAAATACTTAGACTCCATTAATTAGAGAAAAGATATCTTACTGGAAGTCAAGTGGTAGCAACAGAAGAATTCTGAATCTGAGAAAATGAGCGTGTAAATCACATATACAAAGTGATGGCAACGTTCCCACCCCCAGTAGTTCAATTGGCTCATCCAATTAAAAGTTGTGTATAGCATCATGTGGGCATCTCCAGGTGGTGATGAGGCCTCTGTCCACTGACCTTGACATATTTTGATAAAGAGTTGCAGCTGCGCATCGCATAGGATAGAAGCCTAAGCAAGAATCTCCCCCACACAAAACTTATACAGTTCTGTTTTGTAACACCTCCAGCTCACTTCCCATAACCATGTCCCCCCTCCTCCCCACGTTACTTATGACAGCCGAAAGATGCAAAGCAAAGGAAGAAAATCTTGAAGGCTGACATTCGGCCCTCCTGCAAAAGAGGCATTAGTCATATAAAAGATAAAAATAGAAGATAGCAGAAAATATACATGTAACAGCATAATACTATATTTTAGGGTTTATCAGGATATTTAGTACGAAATGCATTGATAAGCTTAGGAGCTCTGACATCCTTCTCATTCACCCATTCAGACTAGGACGGAAGAAAATGTTTCCAAACAACCAAATATTGGAGTTGACCCCTTTGTTTTCAAGAATCCAAAATTTCTTTAACTTC